CTTTGGCCTCGATTTTGTGGAGGAGCCACACTTTATTGGATGTCAGATGTGCATAGCCCAGGCTTACATTAGTAATGATGAGCAGCAGCTTCTGTGGGATGTTTTACTTCTTGAATTGCCGCAGGAATAACAGTCTCTACCAGGCCTTATTCCGAACAGTGGCTCCATCCTAATACAGCAAATCTGTGAGAACTCATAGGCCAAAGCAGAAGTGTGTTGGCGTTCACCATGATACTGTCTGAATGGGGCTGGCAGTAAAGAGGGAGGCAGGAAAAGGAGCCTCTAGGCTTCATATTATAGTTCACCCAGCATAGAGACTTCATGATGATCCTATCTGGCGCTTAGGAGCTTTAGGGATTCCCACAATCCTTCAAGTAACGAAACCTGTACGCACAGCACACATGAAGGAAATAAAAATACAGTATTCTTTATGTTTACATTGTGTGATGCATGCAAATGTAATTACCTTCATATGTTTTGGTTTGTGCAGTGAAGAGGTTCAGATGTTCACCACATTTATGTAAATTGCATTTGTTGTAGGTTTTTTTCTAGAAGGTTGTACTCCCAATTTCAAATTCACCATCCCTGCCATGTGCACTCCTGTTGCATCATGAAGTCCAGAAGGCTAAAGGCTTGCAGCAGTCAGGAGATCTCTTTTTGCCTATGATGATGTTCTTATTGTTGACCCCAAGAAAGGTGAAGGAAGAAGAGATTGGAACAGGAGCCTGAGGCTACATTTTGATGAATTCACAATCAGCCAGTGTCTGTGTGTGAGGACCAGCTCAGGTCCAGAAAGGGGGATTGTCAGGAACCAGCAGTGATTGTCAGTAGATGGTGTTAAAGATGGTAAGAGAGTGCAGAGTGGATGTCTTCTCTGAAATTCCACCATCATCTACTGTACAGTGTCTTAAGCACGTTAAGCTCCACCAGTGGATCAGCTCCCACTAGCATAGCAGCTCTTGGAAATATGCAACATGCAGACCGATTTTACAAACAATCTTGAGAAAATAAGTTTATTGTTAGTGGTAATCTAAGTATGTGAAAGCAATTCGGAGCAACAGCAACTTAACCATGCAGTGGTAGGCTACAGGAAAACAAAAATAAAGAGTGGATGTTGGAGCATATGGTGCAGAGGTCAACTACTTTTTACTAAGTCAACAGCTACAGACCTCTGAACTTTATATGGCCTTTAGATCAGCTCAGGAACTGTGAGAGAATGTCATGAAATTGGTTTCCATGGCTGAGCAGTTGCAGCCTGATGCTGTGCTGTAATAATCAGGATATTCTGTCTTAAAATCCAGTAAATGACTCTGGGTGTTTTCAGCTGGGAGAAAAATGGTATATGCCCAAGTGTGAAGTTCGGTGCAGATGGAATCATGGTGTGGGCCAGTTAGCCTCAGTAAAAGGAATTCTTCAAGATATATCAAACCAACCACTTTTACTGTTGCATTAAAAAGTGGTAGCTGCAATTCTTCCCTTCTATGTGGCGTCAAACCCACTTTAAGCGTATTAACGCTGCCTAAAGGGCCTGAAGTGAGAAAGTCATTGTCGTATTCCTGTTGTGTGTAATGTGACCAAAGCTAAGTGCATCTGCGATTTGAAAATGGATTAAATTGCAAAAGCAATTCATTAACCATCCCATTATGTTAATATAGTTAATAAAAATGTTTGGGCCTTGGAAGCATGGATGTTGTGTAAAACTTAAAATTATGACACACTATGGAAACTATGTTGTTTGCAGCTTTATGTCTGAATTTAGTCAGATGATAACAGCAGCAATGTGAAGTTGTATTTCACTTCCACTCCAACAACCTGTCCACGGACTGCCACTCTTGGTCCCTGAGCAAAGACCCTTAACCCCACACTGCTCCCCGGGCGCCAAACAATGGCAGCCCACTGCTCCTGAAAGGGATGGGTTAAGTGCAGAGAGTGAATTTTGTCGCCTCGATTTGTGACAATGTAATGACAATAAAGTTGATTTCTATTCTATTTGTATGATGTAAATGTTCCAGTATGGTAACCTGAAACAGTAGGCTATAAATTCAGGCCCCATTAACAAGGGGCTCCTAGAAAAATATTTGGTCATTTATGCTGTGCATTGTAACGGATCTGGTGTTATGGGAGAGCATGTAATCATTTTTTAAACCAGAAAACTTTTAAAGTGCTGGTTTCATGTTTTAGTGTTGCAAGCCCTGTCTTTAAAAGAAAGTAAATAAATAAAGGTGACTTTATGGCTCTATCCCCCATATGTGCACCTATGCCTGCATGTTTGTGCCTTTACCTTGCATGAGTTGTCTGCACGTGGTTTTATTTGATAAGGTGGCAAAATCACAGCACCGCCTAAGGGCCAAGAATATGCGTTTCAACATGTGTAGTGATGCTTTGTGCAATTGTGTGGTTGCATTTTTTTTGTAGCCTGTTTAGGAAAAGATACTGTGTTTGTCTTTGTGTTGACCAGGTCTAAATTTAGAAGGCTCCCTTTTATTTATATCCCAGTAATTTAAAAAAATTCCTTTTATACATCTTATTTCCGAAGAAGGCTTATTACAGGCGCACGTTATGGAAAAATGCAAATGCTTTACAGTCCCTTCAATATTAATAAAGGTCTGATTCTGATAGACTCTGCTCTAATTCCTTGGGATGGACAATCTGCGACTTCAGCAAAGTTGTTTATTTCTTTAATTACCCTCAAGAAATTAGCAGCAAATTGTTGTTGATACAAAAAAGATAAAAGCTGTGAACCATCTCTTTCCTTAACTGCACCACCTAATGAGGCAGTTTTCTTTAACAGCCATTTTCCCATTTCCATTTCCTTATTGAATCAACCAGAACACCAAATTACATGGGAGCAGTTCTCGCTGGTAGCTGATTCTCCACCTTAAAATATAATTATCATCTTTACTGTCATCTCTTCATCTTAGTTTCTGTGTGCGGATGTGTCTCTTTGTGTTTCTGTGAATGGTTTGCATGAATGATGTAAGGTGAAAGAGACGCTTTCCCCTTCGGCGACCAATGCTAAACCATCCCCTGCTGGAAAGGAAAACTCTACTGCAAAGGTGTGCTCACTTTTAAAAGTTCATCAGATTTTATTTCCATTATATTTCTATTACTTCTATTATAAGATGTTTTCTTTTTCTAGTAGATAGTTGTTTAAGTTTGTTTTGGTCCATAAACCTTGGATTTGCAATTGATTATAGGCTCCAGAGCTGATTCCGTCTGAGGAAGACCATCACCGTGTCAGGAAGATCTTCATGTTTGATGGCAATAATGTAACTGACCTCTGCCTTGCCTTGGCATGGTTAACGAGAATGTTTTTCGGCCACTGCCTTTACTCAGATGCATGCTCACCCAGAGTGAAGGAAATGTCGACTGTCTTTTACCTCTCAAACGTCTCCTCCATACCTTTACTCTGCCAAAGGCTACTAATTACTATAGATTCCTATACATATTTCTTGCCATTTATTGTCCACAAGATGAATCTATAATCTTTGCCAAGTTTAAAAAAACGCATTCACAATAAGCTTAGACACCTACTTAATATGCATGGATATCATGAGTTAAAATGTTTTAATATTCTCAGGGTGGCCTAATAACACACCATACACAGAAAGACTGTAATGATTAAGGATATGAACAGAATTATTGTAAAATATCTATTCATTGTAATTGCCACCCGGCTGGTTCATTTATAAAACTACAACAATGATTATATTGCTCTATATTAGGGATGCAAAATATAATATGCCCCCTATCGGTATCGGCCTGTATCGGCCTTAAAACTGAATATCGGACATCGGCAACCCCACAGATATTTAACCCGATATTTGATCAGCTTCTGAGTTTCTAAAGTCTAAAAAAAAATAAAAAATAAAAAATAAAATACTACTTCTTCTTCTTCCTCAAAAACTTATTTTTTACAGACTTAAAAACTTCTAAAGACGAGGGAAAAAATATTGATACATTAAAATATCACAATATTTTCATATGCTGATATATTGCCATTTAAAAACACCATATCAATCTCTTTTACTAATGAAATATTGCTATATGTCATCGTTATGCTACGAATTCCCACAAAAATTCACGAAATTTTGCCATATTTTTATATGTTGATATATTGACGCGGTATCAATCTATTTTACTAACAAAATCTCACAAGAATTTGCAGAATATCACGAGAGTTTGAAACAGAACGATGAAATTTCACGAGATTTTTAAAGTAAAATAGATCGATACCGTGTTTTTAAAAATCTATTTGATATCAGCATATGAAAATATATTTGAGTATATTATTTTTGAAAGTGTCAGAAATGGATAACAAAACTGATATTTTTAATGACTACTTATTTTTGTCCAGCTTTAACATCGGTATCGATATCGGTTATCGGCTACACGAGTTTTAAAATATCGGCATATCGGATATCGGCCAAAATCCCAATATCGTGCATCCCTACTCTATATATAAATATGTAGAATTATTGTCTGTTTAATTTAAAAGAACATTACCATGTGAAATTGGGGAAAGATCAAATATTGAACTGGGATTAGACCAACATTTTCTTGACTGACTGTTGCTTCTTTAGTGCCTGATAAGGGAAATTTAAACAAAGATTCTAGAAACTTCAGTTCAAAAGACATTAGAAAATTAAACCATCTTGATTTGTAATGTAATTAATGCCAATGTTGAATTTATAAAACCTTGATCATTAATAGCTTTCCAGATCCTGCACACTGATTCCCAACATAAATCATTTTTAGATCATTATTTGTTTTTTTGCTGCATCTATTTTGCCAGATGAATTTTAGTTCGCACTGCAGCGAGGTGACCACACTTTGCTGATTTAATAATGGATGTTATGGCAATGAGCCTTTTATGTTCATTTTTTCTTCTTGCTGCGATGTTCTGTTTTCTCAAAGTCACATCTTTCTTTTGCTTATTTTCTTTTGTGTGCCGCTGGATCCTGCATTGCTCCTGTTTTGTTTGCTGTCTGCATGGTTAGATGCCCAGAGGCTGCAGAGTTTCTCAGGTACATCATCTTTAACCTTGGGCTGAGTGCACTCCTCTGGGCATTGAGAGCTGGAGTTTAAACATGTTCTGCTCTGCTGACCCCTCTGTGGCCTATTTGCCTGCTGGTCTTTGACCTCTGTCTGTTTTCTGGAAATGCAGAAGCCTGAATTATAATGACACTTACACTGGAGGGAGGGTGGTGGTGGTTACTTAATTCATGAGTTCTTAACCAGGTTTAAGAAAGTGTCAATATGGTTAAACTCAACACTGTTACATTCCGCTCATTGTAATTTATGTCTGTGAATCTAGATATAGTTTTATTTCGACGTACAGGTGCTGGTCATAAAATTAGAATATCATGAAAAAGTAGATTGATTTCAGTAATTCCATTTAAAAAGTGAAACTTGTATATTATATTCATACATTACATACAAACTCATATATTTCAGATGTTTATTTTGTTTAATTTTGATGATTACAAATGACAACAAATGAAAAGCTCAAATTCACCATATCAGAAAATTTGAATATTGTGAAAAGGTTCAAAATTGATGGCCCCTGGTGCCACACTCTAATCAGCTAATTAACTCAAACCACCTGCAAAAGCCTTTAAATGGTCTTTCAGTCTAGTTCTATAGGCTACACAATCATGGGGAAGACTGCTGACTTGACAGTTGTCCAAAAGACGACCATCGACACCTTGCACATGGAGGGCAAGACACAAAAGGTCATCGCTAAAGAGGCTGGCTGTTCACAGAGCTCAGTGTCCAAGCACATTAATAGAGAGGCGAAGGGAAGGAAAAGATGTGGTCGAAAAAAGTGTACAAGCAAGAGAGATAACCGCACCCTGGAGAGGATTGTGAAACAAAACCCATTCAAAAATGTGGGGGAGATTCACAAAGAGTGGACTGCAGCTGGAGTGAGTGCTTCAAGAACCACCACACACAGACGTATGAAAGACGTGGGTTTCTGCTGTCGCATTCCTTGTGTCAAGCCACTCTTGAACCACAGACAGCGTCAGAAGCGTCTTGCCTGGGCTAAAGAGAAACAGGACTGGACTGCTGGTGAGTGGTCCAAAGTCATGTTCTCTGATGAAAGTAAATTTTGCATTTCCTTTGGAAATCAAGGTCCCAGAGTCTGGAGGAAAAGAAGAGAGGCACTTCATCCACGTTGCTTGAAGTCCAGTGTAAAGTTTCCACAGTCAGTGATGGTTTGGGGTGCCATGTCATCTGCTGGTGTTGGTCCATTGTGTTTTCTGAGGTCCAGGGTCAACGCAGCCACATACCAGGAAGTTTTAGAGCACTTCATGCTTCCTGCAGCTGACCAACTTTTTGGAGATGCAGATTTCATTTTCCAACAGGACTTGGCACCTGCACACAGTGCCAAAGCTACCAGTACCTGGTTGAAGGACCATGGTATCCCTGTTCTTAATTGGCCAGCAAACTCTCCTGACCTTAACCCCATAGAAAATCTATGGGGTATTGTGAAGAAGAAGATGCAATACACCAGACCCAACAATTCAGAAGAGCTAAAAGCCACTATTAGAGCAACCTGGGCTATCATAACACCTGAGCAGTGCCACAGACTGATCGACTCCATGCCACGCCGCATTGCTGCAGTAATACAGGCCAAAGGAGGCCCAACTAAATACTGAGTGCTGTACATGCTCATACTTTTCATGTTCATACTTTTCAGTTGGCCAACATTTCTATAAATCCTTTGTTTTTATTGGTCTTCAGTAATATTCTAATTTTCTGATATGATGAATTTGAGATTTTCATTTGTTGTCATTTGTAATCATCAAAATTAAACAAAATAAACATCTGAAATATATGAGTTTGTATGTAATGTATGAATATAATATACAAGTTTCACTTTTTAAATGGAATTACTGAAATCAATCTACTTTTTCATGATATTCTAATTTTATGACCAGCACCTGTATATATCATAGTAATATCCCACTGGAAGAAGTAAAATTCAGTTTAATCATAGGTGTCTGAGCTATATTTAAGATTTATTAATCTTAAATTCTTAGGTCGTTTGTTTTTTTTATGTAAAAACAAAAGAAATAATGGATCTCAAATGAAACATTTTTAGTTTAAAGTTATTTTTTAATATCAAATCACACACAATGTTTTAAGTTATTTAAATTACCAGATTTATGTTTTAGAATTATGAGGATAGATTATTGATTCCCTTTCTAATTTGCATTGTTTTAAACAAATACTTGCAGAAGAGTTATGTAAGTATGTAGATAAGAGAGTGCTTTCAGGCCTTAATGAGCAGCTGCACCTGGCTGATTCATAGAAAGGATGCCTTTGACGTTAGCCTGACGTAGTCCGACTCAATTCTAGTCAGAATATGAGTCTGATACTGCTCCATAGAGCTGTGATTATGGGGCGTGTTTTGAACGAACCAGGAAAAAAAATGCCTCTGCACTCAATTGGATAGACCTACAACCAATAAGAGCAACGGAGTGCGTGACGTATCTTAAGCGAGGCATAGTTGTTGTCCACAAAAAATCAAAGCGTGCAGTTTCACGCCTAGAATAAGAAGATGAGCCTTGATCGCATTTCTCTGTTCCTCTTTTAAAATTAATTTGCTGTCGATATTTTCTAGAACAGACCTAATAGCAGAATCTACTCACCCAAACTCTCCAGCGGCAGCCATTATTGTTGTCACCCAAGCGCGCTTTGGTCACGTGGTTGATAACGTTACTCTTGATCATCTGTCCATCATCGTATAAAGCCCGCCCTGACAATTTGATTGGATCGCCTGACAGTGGGCTTTAATACTCGCGCTACTATGGAGCAGAGCCAGACCGAACTTCCCCGACCTCAAACCTTGTGGGCGGGACTAAGTTCGGACTGGCACCCAGGCTACTTTGACGTGAGAGCTGTCACTTAAAACAATAGACGAGCTGACGGCACTCCTGCAAAACATGAATAATACATGAGGAGGAAAAAGATATTTTCTCTTACAAACTCTGGTCTCTAATTGGACGCAAACAAAGAATAAATCTTTCAAATGGAAATCACACAAGTGCATGTAACATTTTTCAGCTAACTAAACTAAAAGTTCCTGGAATATAAAGATCTTGAAATTGGTAGAAAAAGCAGGAGCCGACGTTTGCAGGAGAAGGAACTGCAGCAAATAGGCTGAAACTTTCAGGGATGAGTTTACAAATTTATATTTAAAAATTGAACATGTAGTAATAGATATTCAAGAAGTCTACTTTTAAATTAAATACTCAGTAAATAGTGTGGTTGTTGATACGCAAGAACATTTCTGTCAGAACCAATATTTATGACAAAATAAATTTTTTCTGCATGGCTAAACAAGCAATCCTGATGATAAAGTTTTTTGGTCTGTAATGAAGCTTATTACTTTCATTTTACTATTTACTATTTCCGTTTACTATTTTCTTTTATATATTGGTTAAAAAGGAAAAACAGCCAAAAAGTAGTCAAACTTATAGATGATATTATTATTTATTTAATAACCCAGTTTGTTTTGCCTGGGGGATATGCATCTATTTGTTTTCTCTTAGGACATTACCCTGCTTGTGCTGAAAACACAGTGAATAATCTGGTTCACTTGGAAAGATGCTGGAAGTGATGAATGTTTTTACCTTCCGTTTTTGTAGATTTCTCTTATTGTATATTTAAAATATTTTCTCATATTTATTTTTTTTACAGTGTCCTGTCTGGCAATGTGGCAATAAGAATAATTGTCTTGATGTCAAAAAGAGCCCAACAGATTTTACTTTCACAAGTAGAGCAGTATGGCTATCGCCATAGTGTTCCGCTTGTTTCACGCATATAAATAGCTTTATTATAATCATGTAGGGAATTTTAGATTATATGGACACTGCAATGTAAGTAGAATAGAAGAGGAAAAACAGGAAAAAAAAAGGAGAAAACATTTTCAGTCTGCTTCAGCACCTGCAAAGAGATGTAAAAAGAACAGCACAACCAACAGACATGGTACGAGATATATAATAAAGTAACACCTAGATGCTATCGCTGAAGTAGTATTATTTAATCTGACATGTACTCTGTGTTACCTGAAGACAAGAATATGGGCTTTCTGTATGGAAGTGAATCTCTAAGTACCTAGAACCAAGCACCTGTAGTTGTTTGTGAGAGTGCAATATATAATATTTCTCATTTTAACTTTATTCATATTTCTCTTAATAACTTAAACTACTGGCATCCTAAATATTTCTTTCTACCCCTGTAGTGGTGAGCCAGTCTCTTTAAGAGCAGGGTTTTACTTATTTAAAACAAAATAATCAGGGTCCTTAGCTCTAGGTGCACCGGCAGACCAGTCGATACATCTCAGATGAACCTGAAAAATCAGCCAGTATTAACATTAAGAGATCTGTTTCGCACTCAATGGTTTAAAACTCATGCCTCTGTTACAGATACTTTTGCTTGAGAGAATAAAACATGACTTTGTACTTAAACGCCACCCTGGAAAATTGCATGATTTAGTCACTAATTCGGTATAGTTGTTTTGCCTTCCTACTGCATTTCTATTTTATTTTTTTTGTCTTGCTGAAGTGTTTTTTTTTATTGTTTACAATACTCCAGTTTTTAGTCTTTACTGTTGTGAATTTTGCTTTGCCAATTATTGAAAGATTTAAATTGAAGCTGACATTTAACTGTCCGATATGATCCCTTCCTTCTCCAGTCCAACCTTGTTGAGGACCCTGTGGCCATCCTTCAGGCTTCACACTCAGCTGCAACCAAGGTCTGACCATACAGCGGGTTGTGGTGCTGATTGCAAACCCTGTTCAGATTGATTTCTCATATAGATTTAGTTCTTGAGAAGCTGTTAGAGTAGTTTGTAAAGCAGTCTGACCACCTAGACACCCAGGACTTCCCTAAAGCCCTCCTTGTACAAGCTTCTTCTCTCAAAGTTAGAACTCATTAGTTGATATCCCCATGAAATGTCTGCCTGGATGCTTTTGGATCTATATTTAGACATTCTTTCTGCAAAAAAACAGAAAAAGAAGTTGGACAATGTTCAACATCCTGAATAGTATAAACAAATCTGACTGGGCAGCTCTACTGTCCTAAATTGGCTTTCTGCACCTCACAGCATGAATGTTATTCACATAAAACAGTATATCATTGAATGCAAAATGAGTAATGAAAAGATGAGACAATGCTGCCTTTTATAAAAAAAGCCCCAAATCATTTCCAAAAACATGTGTTTGTGTCCTGATGGGACTGGAATCTGGCAAAAATAGGAGATTTTAAAGATAAAAATACATTTTACTTCATGTGTATATTAACTATGTCCTATTCTAACCCCCAAACCAGTTGGTCTTTAATTTCAGGCATCAACATCTGATGTTCTGGAACTTTTAGACGTGTCACTGGTCCAAAACACCTGAATAAAATTACTAAAATGCCTCTTCAGTAAGCAGTCAGATGAACTGATTTTTATTTTTTTGTGACTAAATCTAAAAAGTGTGGGATACCGGACCTCTAGGACTGGAGTTAAAGACCCCTGAGGGATGAAAGACAAAATATTTTCCTTTTTTGTTAACTAAATTCCCCTCTAGTGTTTCAGCTTTCTGTGCACTTTTCTCCCAACAATTGAGCTTCTTGAAGTTCAAATGTGTTTTGGTTTCTGCTTCAAAGTCTGGGTGTGATTTTTGGGTTTTGTTGAGTAAACTATTTTCTATCCCGTTGTCTAAGATCCCTCATAAGTGATGATGTGACATTTATCCTAACTGAGTTGTAAAAATATAATATTGGAGTGCTTTAAAATTCTAAAGCTAATCATCAAAACGTCATGTTTGGAATAATGAATAACAGATCATTGGTCCCTAAATCTTCAAATCCTGCTGGAAGAAACTGCCTATGCTCTGAATTCTGCTATAGAAGGGTATTTATGTTTATAGATGCACCAAAGATGAATTTATGGTCTATTTTTGTTTGAGACTTAGATTAAAATAATATATATAAACAAGTTAGAATTTATTTACCATACATTTGGCATTTCTATTTGAAAAATGAGTGATGCCACACTGTATGTGAGAGCAACAACCTAAAGCTGTGTTTGAACATTTTAAAATAAAAAAACAATTATCACGTGGCTTAAACATCATCTTATTACCATTGGCAAAGATCAGATAGCTGCTTTAAAACGAGAACGTCAACCTGGACCTTAATTGAGATTTCAAAAGCCTGCAGAAGCTTGTTAATCCAGCATGTTCTGTAACAGATGAAGACCTAAAGCTAACTGGGGGAAAAACAGAGCAACATTAGGGTTTCAACTACTGGATTCCTTCCAACAACCAGAGTTTCTTTCTGGAGGTGTTATCAAGCCACTCTATTTACAATGGTAAAAAAATAAATAAAAATACCAATGCAATTTTATTCCAGGGGGAAAAAAGGGGTATGGATGGAGCATTTTCTAGCATTTTTACTAAGGACCTGGGTGCTGCTACTGCATGATGTAAGAAAGCAGAGTCTCAATGGAGTGGAAATGATCATAGTGATGTGACAGCTGAATTAATATCTGTATTATTATCAAGATACTCCCAATAGTCTACTTCAATGAGTTATTAATTTTATTTAGATGGTTCTAAAACATGCAGGACACTGGTTCCTAAGGGACTGGAGGTGGCCAGCCCAGGTTGTACATGCCTGGCAGGGATACTAACTAATGGTCCAACCTGTGTGTTTTCCATTCAGGCACACTTCTTGCTGTAATATGTTCTGCCTTTCTGTTAATGCTGTAAGTGGTGTTTCCTCCAGGAGCTTGAATCAACAACAGACTCATTAAAATTGCTTACGGTTCGACAAGCTTCTTAACATCTCTGTCTTTATTCTGAATAAATCTGAAAACATTCAGCTAAAGATGAAAACAGATGATGACAATTTCCATACCAAAGTGTTACTTTAATTGTGACCTTGTTGCTCTAGGCCTCCTTTGGCCCCTAAGTGATTGGATAAAATGAAGTTTTACTTTTTTTTATAGCTTTCTGCCAATGTTGGTTGAATTGAAAATGTCCAGATTCTAGCCACCTACCAAGCTCTTGGTGCGTCTCTGTTTCTAGTCTGTACTTGTGCAATCTTACTGATTTGGATCCTCTTGGTATTAAATAACTGGCTTTTTGACTAGAACCGGCTAATGTCAATGAACTCTGACACCATATAGTCTTGTTGTAACCTGCAAAACCTAAAGAAACTGTATTTGGTGCATTTTTATGTTTTGATGTTTCAAACGTTTCAGCTTGGCTTTCAGAAACATGTCTCCCTCTGATTGTTGTTCTGCTTTAACAGGTGAAGACAGAGGAGCAGTTAAAAGCAGAGAAGGCCTGGTATGAAACAGAAAAAGTATGGCTTGTCCACAAAGATGGATTTTCCTTGGGTTTGTATGATTTATTTACTCTTAAACAATCTGCATCGTTATGATGCATGGACATGTTAAACTCCCACCCTGCCAGGGCAGCGTTTGGCGACATCTGATTGCGAAAAGTACAGATGTGGGTGTTTGAAGCACATAAAATGCTTTTAGAAATGTTGCTGTTAATCAGAATGCTCTTGATTACATCAGACCAAATGGATTTCAGTGTAGTTTTTAAAATGAATTGCATTTTATGCTTTATTGGATCTCATGCATTAAGCTGTGTATAACGGCATTAAGTGATCATGCATGTAAATGAAGATCCAGATCATGTGTCACAATAAATTAATTTCGGTCTTTGCGGTGATGTAGCCACTCTCCTGAAAACGGAGGAAGGCAGCCTGCCAGAGGGGAAGGTAAAAATCTGCCTGGATAGTGATGGATCGTTATTGGACGTGGATGAAGATGATGTAGAGAAGGTACTTCATTACATGAGCTCTGAACCTCATCCATAAGCAAACGCTCTTGAGTATGATCGCCTCTGTGTTTGAACTCTAGGCAAATCCACCTCTGTTTGACCGAGTGGAGGACTTGGCCTCTCTGCAGTATTTGAACGAGTCAAGCGTGATGCATTCACTGAGGCAGCGGTACGGCAGCAACCTCATGCACACCCACGCCGGACCCAGCATGGTGGTCATTAACCCAATTAGCGCCCCTTCTATGTATTCTGAGAAGGTAGGCAGCGTAGTTTATACATGGATGCATCATGATTCATCATCTGAATCTGTTTCAATTGAGAGTAAAATAGTATGTTTGCTAATGTGACTAGAACTCCTAACCCATTTCTGTCCTCATCTTCTTTTCTGTTTAGGTCATGCAGATGTTTAAGGGCTGCAGAAAAGAGGACACTGCTCCTCATATTTACAGCATGGCGCAGGCTGCGTATAGGAGCCTCCTTACTACTCGCCAGGACCAGTCCATTGTCCTGCTTGGCAAGAGTGGAAGTGGCAAGACCACCAACTGCCAGCATATCCTCCAGTATCTTGTCACTATTGCTGGAAGCACTAACAAAACATTCTCCAGTAAGTCTGAAAGGATGAACGCCGAATTTGAAACATTCAAATTATGCTTCATGTCAAAGAGCTCTTCCAGTTACCAACCCTTCACTCTGGTTGATTACAGCAGAGAAATGGCAGGCAGTATATACAGTGTTGGAGGCTTTTGGGAATGCTTCCACATCCCTTAATGGGAATGCAAGTCGCTTCTCCCACATCGTTTCCCTGGATTTTGACCAGGCAGGCCTGGTGACCTCAGCCTCTATCCAGGTACACTGAACACCTCTGCAGCCTCCACAGGCTTGTTTATCTTTTTTCTTTATTTTTTTTCTTACCAGCTCCTTTTTTTTTTTTTTTTTTTTTTTTTTGCATAGCTGCAGAACCAAAAATTACTGAAAAATTATCCAGATATTTTACTGTCAAAACATATTTTTAAAGGTATAATGGAGGATTTCGGGAAATTCTTACACTTAAAAAAAAAATTACATGCAGAGCCCTGTAGCCTCTCCCGAGAGGGAACACCTATTAAACGCGTGCAAGAGCATGCAGGAGGCCATTTCTCTTTGTGCACGCTCTGTTTAAAAGTTGCCGTTGGCATCGCTTATTTAAGCTTACTTTCCAAAAAAACATTTTCGATTTTTCCACTATGTCAGACTCACCACTGGTAAGTGAAAATGGGGACAAGCACGTAGGACAGCCTTATATAAACATATCACCAGAATGATTGACAATTAGGAGGACCACTTATTTTAATGATCCACCCAGAAAAAGAACATCCTCCACTATACCTTTAATGAAACCTCAATCCCATTTCCTTTGCTAAATTGTTATACATTTTTAAAATACTTTTTAAATATTATTTGTGTTTTTATTGTGACTTCACAGACGATGCTTTTAGAGAAAATGAGGTTGACAAGGAGACCAGAGGGAGAGTCCACTTTTAATGTGTTTTACTACCTGATGGCTGGAGTGGATGGTGCTCTAAGGTCAGTTTCATTACCCTTTAGTCAATTAAAATACTGTCCTGTATTTATGTTTATTGTATGTAATGTTTATTGTGACAGACCTTATCAAAGCTGTACATAATTGTGAAAAGTAAATTTATTTTAAAAACGATAAAAAGGATAACCAAAGGGTAAATCTCAGTAAACACAGTCAGGGTTAAAGCTGTGAGCTTTAATGCAGGAAAAGTTTGAAACACAACTTCAACAAGTTTAAAATGGCTTACAGAGCTGTGTTTCTTAATCTTGCAAAAATGGAAAAAGTACAACTTATTACTGGGATAAGGTGTTAGAGATGTACCCCCAAAGACCTCAGAAACAAACTGGTCTATAAAGTGTTGACTTGAAGAGGTTCAATATATCACTTAAAAAAGACGCGGTACTTTGTCTGTCGCATACAATCTACCAAACGTATATGGAAGGTTCTGTGTGGCATGGGACAAAGAGTGTAAATGTCCAAAGCATATAAATATATTTTGCTATGCTTAGTATGGTTCATATCAATGGTATTGTGTCAGCTGTCATTCCTTTATCTGTTTTCTTCCCCATCAGAACTGAGCTGCACCTCAACCACTTTGCTGACAACAATGCATTTGGAATCCTGCCACAGACCAAGGTAAATGCTACTCCTTAAGCAGAGATTGGCCTTTAAAGGTATTACTTTGACCTCTTACAGAGCTGAAGTAATCTTTGTAAAAATCTGTTAGGCAGAGGATAAGCAGCGGGCCTCTCAGCAGTTTTCCAAACTGCAAGTAGCCCTGAAGGTCCTTGGGATCAGCACGGATGAGCAGAGGGCCCTCTGGCTGGTTCTTGGGGCCATCTACCATCTGGGAGCCGCTGGAGCTACAAAGAGTAAGGCCTTCATAGGGGAATCACTTATAAGTAGTGATATTAATCATTGCAAAAACAACTATTTGTAAAACATAGAAAAACAATCTTTTCACCTTTTTCTCAGCAGCTTCTTAAGTGACGTGTCAATGTTCAGGCTGCCTTTTTTTAAAACCATCACTTGTGTGATGCAAGAAATGTGTAACAGAGTTCCATGAATTATGTATTTGCACTTAGAAAGAGATGTTGCACTGTGCACAGATCATTACACTAAGCTGCACAAATCTGCACCTCTAAATAAAAAATCAAATTGTAGAGAGAAATTTATGCATTAGGCTAATACTACTGATGCATGGAAATAACCAAAGATGCATATCTGTTACTTAGCACATTTCACTTTGACTGCTGAGCACATGTCTTCTTTGTTTGACTATATATCAGGTTTTTTTCACTCTGTGTGCAAGATGATTACACGAATTGCATTGGGATTAATTTTAACATCAGCCTAATTTTGATATGATTTTTTTCAGTGCAGATCTACATTAAAGTCCATGATGACAGAATTTGTCGCTGAATGCTGCTCGTTTAGTTGTGCATAGTTATGAAGAGAAAGAAAAATTATACACGGTTTATAAAAGTCATTCAATTCCCACAGCATGATGCTGCCACCATAATGTTTCACCATAGGGATCTATGTTCAGAGTCTCATTTTGGCAGAATTTTTCTGGAGTAGTTTAGCAGAAAAATAGCATCTTGTTCCTGATCTAATCTTCTACATGTTTCCTGTATTCCTTACACTGCCTGGGCTAAATGTTAAATTGGACTTATTCTTTCATTTCAATAATGGCTTTCTTTTTGCCCTTGCTCTATAACTGATAAAAAGTGCACGGCCCACTTTTCAGGTTTTCTAATTGTTGGAAAAAAAAAGAAAGTATGAACCATTCTCCTTCTTATTTTGGTCTGTCAAAGAAAATCCTAGTAAAATAAAAGACGACAAAAACTGGTTAATGGAATGAAGTTATTTTTACTGCGAAAAGTTGAATGTTAAGAATTTGCAAAACATGCTTTCAGTAGGATTTTCATCAAAATGCAAAGCTTTTAACCCAAACCATGACAGACATCTAAGACAAGGAATTTACTCCAGATTGTGTTTTTTTTTTTTTTTACACATTTGTTCACCCTTCATTAGGTCTGCGCTGTCGCTTATGCAGACTAGTTTGCCCAATTACTGTCAGTGATCCCCTCCAGCTGGCTACCAATCTCTCTGATGGCACTACAGCATCATTAGGAGCTAATTTCAAAACATTCCAAGTAACAGATATTGTCTGTGGATGCAGAAATTAACTGATATCCTCATGATTGGCATGACATTTAAGTATGGGAAAGTTCTGCTTTTGTTAAAGCCATTTTCTTTTTAATAACCTGTACATTTTGGTGATGTGTTATACAATCATGCAATTTAGTGACAATTAGTGGATCATATTTAACATTACAAAGCTGTTATTTTGAATCATGAGAAAAAATGTGCACTTTCTAAAAAAAAAAAGTTTTTTTTCTTTGCTGACTTTTTCTATTAGCTGCCAGCTACAAAGCATTGCCTTTTACAGCAGTGCATTCTCTCTAAGTAACACTAGAGGGCAGCAGTGCTCTCTGTCCCCTCATATGGCTGTCAAGGAGCCATATGAGAGAACTTGGCTTTACTGTGTTTACTGTACCGTCAATCCATAAATTTGACAAGTGTTAATTGAGAAAGGTTTACCCAATAATCTCCATTGTTGTAGAACATGTGCACACACGGATAAATGTGATCGGTTGGAACTCTTCACTCTTTACCCGTTTGACCTTGTAAAAAAGCGTTATGATGACAAACCTTTTTTCTTTTTGATGGTTTAAGTAATTCCTGATGGAGCTGCATGTCATTCAAAGCAGATATTTAAACGTCTTTACTTGACTCTACAAACGTTCGGCTTCCTATTACCAGACACGCAAGTGTTCTGTGGGAGTGATGAAACAGATAGTGCGCACTGTTTTCTCTCTGTAATCCCCAAAGTTTTTCTCTCTCCAAGTCTTAGAAGATACCAGTTCATGGTGGATTATAACTCAACTTTGAACCTCTGTCTGGATCTTATCATTATTTTGCTAGATTAAAGAGACGCTTGTGTTTCCCAAATGAAGTCCCCTGTCATGTGAATTAATTGTGTTCTTTACTAATTGCATTTATTCCCACTGTGCAGTTCTCTTTTTGTTAACTCTTTATCTTCTATTCATGACAGTTTCATGTTTTCTCTAAACAATAGTTCATCAGCTCTGCCAACTTTAAGATGCCTTGCAAAAATATTCAATCATCCTCAATTATTTAGCTAATTTCGACAAAAAACAGTTTTCTTCTTTCTTTTTCGTCCAATGAAAACCTGAAGTGTGCTGTGCCTTGTTCCATGCATCTCCTCCTGCATGGCTTGTGACAAATTGTAAACAAGCTTTTAATCTGTCTTCTCACCACTCCTCCGTAATAGTTGTCTCCAACCTGAGGTGTGAATCTCTGCAGCTCCTCTAGAGTGTGAACATAAGCTTGTCGGCTGCTTCTCTGATTCTTTAAAGGCTTTTCAGTTTAGTTGGTTGTTATTATATTAATAGGTTTGCAGTTTTTAAGTAGTCTCTCAATAAACAGTTATCTGAGAGATAATGGTTGTATTAATGCTGAAATTAAATTTCACTCCGTTTACCTTGGATGACAAAAAAAAAAAAATTTTAATATGGAAAGATGCTACAGCGTTAAAGGGAGTAACACTGTTAGTTAGAGGCTCTCTAAGAGCCCTGATTGTCACAAATGTCACCTGGAACGTGGTTGCAGAAGGTCTAATGGACGTTTTTATGCACTTCTCAGCTGGCAGGAAACAATTTGCACGTCACGAGTGGGCCCAGAAGGCAGCCTACCTGCTGGGCTGCACCCTGGAGGAGCTTTCCTCCTCCATCTTCAAGCATCAGGCCAAGGGCACCCTGCCCAGACCCGGCACTATCCGCCAGGCTTCAGAGGAAAATGGCTCAGCAGATGCAGGTACTCAGCAGAATACATTTCCAGTATACTCTTTTCATTCCCCCGCACCACTCTATTTCTCTTTGTCACTCTCGGTCTACTTCGTCTCGCACACTCACACGCATATGTGTCTGTTCATCACCTAAGGGAAATTGCATGCATGGGAGAAAAGTAAAGCTTATCTTAGTAATGAATACTACACATTCACGCTGGCTATTGACAGATGAGTGCACACAGTATGTCGGGACAAGCAATTTTGGATCCCTTTTCATTCTTTGTCCTTGAAATTATAATTGCGTCACATTGATTTCTGTCACGTGCAGGTGCTCTGACATTACATCAACAGACTTTGAAGGGCATAAGGACACAGTTAAAAGTCCATCACAGCGGGGATTGACAGAAATGACCTCAGTCTCACCTTCCCTGTCCCTGCACTCGCACATAAACCTGCTGTCCAGTTTGTGTGTGCACAGACATGAAAATGTCCCCCTACTAAACATAAAGTCACCATTCTGTTTGATGGCAGAATGAATTAAGTGAGCTTAACAGGTGGCCATTGCCGCTAGGCTCAAACATGAGTTAGCGCTGTTAGATGTGACCACTTCCAAAGCACCCCAGTCCAAAATGTCAAAGCTTGACAAAGACAATTTTAAACCCAGCTTGGATACTAAAGCCTCTGGGTAAAAAATGCTCGTCTCTAATGACGCTGAATCCTCTTCCTAGGAGCAAATGCCAGGCTCTAATTAATTTCCTCGTTTCACCGGTGAGCTACTTGTGTTTTGTTATGGTTAAGATATTAGAAACTGTAAATAACCAATAATTTCTGTCTGGCTGCCTTTTATATCAGGATCCAAATCCACAGCGATGGAGTGTCTGGAAGCAATGGCGTGTGGGCTTTACTCTGAAGTCTTTGCAGTCGTAGTTTCATTGATAAACAGGTTAGTAATGGAGGTCAGCGGACATATTTGGTTGCACTAACCTATTTCTATGTACAGTTCCAGCAGAATTGAAGTGCAAGAAGCCTTAAAATAATGAAACAACCACCCAAGAGAAGTAGAATAATCAGAAATTTTGATTTAAGTCACACTTATTCAGTGAGACAAGAGCCACGTTGTTTAGAAGAAAATCCCTGTTGTCATAATTGGTTGGTAATGTGTCATAAAAAAGTAATCGTAAAATATACTTTTATTATTATAATGCATTGGGGCTGAAACCATTTATCGGATTAATCGATTATTGAAATTATCGTCAACTAGTTTAGTAATCAATTCATCGTTAACTGGACTGGAGTATAGAGACAACCCAGCTAAAGCAGTAATTATATTAAAATTGTAAAACAATATGCAAAGATTTTGCATGTAAGATCATTTTTTTTTTTTTCTTCTGTCAATATGTGCAATCCAGAACTCCTCAAGTGTAACCATTTTAGTTTCACCAGCTTTAATTTAGTAAAAAAATCTTTGGTTGTTTATTATTTGATTATTCGAAAAAATAATCTACATATTAATCGTTTTACTAAATAATCATTAGTTGCAGCCCTAAAATATTATTACTATTATACATGTATTTTAATTTGAAAGATGACCTTCTATTTCTCAGGAGTATAAATATGATGCGATCCACCATTTATTTTAGCCTCCGGAAATAGGCTAGATAAGGAACCAGAATTGTATAGCAAATATGCACAGTGAGCAAAATAGTTAAGAAAACTCAGCTACAGTCGGGGTCAACAGTGTTCCACAAAAAGTGTTAGATGCCACAAGTTGGGGATGATCATCTTCATGATCTTAGTATGAGCCTAGTCAAATTTTGTACTTAAATCTGCCAGTGTATCAAAATTAGAACAATTATTCAAAGAAAAGTGGGCTAAAATTGCTTCATCATTTGAATCCTTTAAGTATAAAAAAATAAGTATTAATTATTACATCTTCAGTGTGTTTATTTTCTACTCTTCTGTAATTGAAGGTTTGGCCATATATAGTTTTATTTGAAGCTAAGGGAAGTAAAGTGAATTATCTAAATCAAGCAAACTTTAGTTTTGTACAGAACATCATATCATTTTAACATGGTGAAAAGATTAAGTGCATTGCAGAGCATAATAAAGGAAAAACTGTTGAACTGCAAACTGAAATGGTGTTTAATGGTTTAATTAGTACAATCAAAGGTTGCTGTAAATAAACTTCTTTTCACATTGATTAAAAAGAACCTCAGCATTAAAGATCAGTTCTGCCATTCAAGGTTTCGTAGAGTCAATATAATCAATAAAGGTTATGTTTACTGTACATGTGTATGTTTATATGTATTTTCCCCCTGTGTGTTTAAGGGCCTTGAAATCCAGCCAGCACTCCATGTGCTCTCTGCTCATTGTGGACACACCGGGCTTTCAAAACCCGAGGCTTGCTAAACGCGAGAGCGGCGCAACCTTTGAAGACTTGTGCCACAACTACACTCAAGAACGCTTGCAGAGCCTCTTCTACCAGCGCACCTTTGTTCAGGAGCTGGAACGATACAAAGAGGTAGAGACGTGAGGGATAATGTGCTGTGCATATATACATCCTCAGTCTCCTTTCTTGTCTTTCCCCCCCCCCACCCCAGCCCACCTTGTCTAACACCGTTTCCCCGATATATATCAGCTCCCATAGTGAATGTGTTCACACTTCAGAAATGCTAGCCGTCCCACCTGTCACAAGCTGTGACAACCCGAAGTGGTTCATGTGTTAGACCTTCTCATTAGCGATGGCAGTGTTCACCTCTTCTGCTGAGATCAAAGTAAAGTCACTCACAGCTGCCTATGAGAGACACGCCCAGCTGCACAGCCGTGGCGTTTTCTTCCTGATGAAAGAACCATTCTTCTTCTGTCCTTCTCAGAGCTCATTCTAGCAGAACCGTACCATTATTACTGGCCACACTCATCTTCAAGGATTTATTAAAGGACAAAATGCTGGAGATTTACTTTATGCCTTACACATATATTCATCTTTTCAAGCTGTTGCACTAACCTGAAAATAATTGTCCTCCGTTGTCAAGATAGTGAAGCTAACCAGGAATCCTGATAACGTTACTTTAGATGCAGTGAGCACGGATCTTGGGACTTTCAGCCTGTTTTGCCACCCACGTCATTTGCCTGGTAGAATAGGGATTTCAGCTGAATTAATTATTGCATGGCAATGCGTTGCTGCCAGTACAACCTGAGAATATATGGAGCTGTGAACCTGTCATCGTAAACTGGGTCAGACTCATTTAAGTCAGCAGTGAGTGTTAAAAACGAGGGTGACGGGCAGGTTAAAGCGTAAAACAGTCGTGTGCTTGGTAATTATTGCTGAAATGCAATAGAGCTGAAGCTGTTGGGAGGAACTTTGTTTCCTCAAATGTCTGTTTCATGCTCACATTTAGGCCGTACCAAAGCATCTGTCACAGACACCATATTGAACATTTCCATCCGTTTTTATAGCCCTCTCAGCAGCAGCTATGGTATTTTATTTAATTAATTTCCTCTTTATCTTACATTTCCGTTTACCTTTAGGAAAAATACTTGAATGAAATGCAATATATTATCTTGGTGTAGATTTTAGTTACATAGCATGTAAAATTCCCATTTTATAATTTTAGCAGCTAATCATTTTTAGAACAATTGTGCCTTTCAGCACCTTTCCAAGTTACTTTGGCTATAAAAGAAAATAAGCAATATAATTTTGTTCATGAATAACCTTTAACTGCAACAGATTATTTTGTCCTGGAGGCTGAAGCTAAACGCTAGTTTGATAGAGCCAAGAATAAATTACATTTTAACCATTTCAAAAATCTCTTCAATCTTAGAAACGTCACGGCAGTTCATGGCAATGATATTTTACTGACCTTTAAATCGTTATGTTTGCGTCGGTTGGTTACTTCTGGAAAAACCTGTGATTACTAATGCAGGAAATTGAGGTTGTCCACCAGGAATGATCTTCCTGTTTGAACCCTGTACTGAGAAAACATCATGTAAAGCCTTCCCCTTCAGACTGTTTCATATAAAGTGAAGCACTTTTAAAGGTTTTAAATAAACATATACTCACATTTTGAATCTGGACTCAATACATTTCTTTATCATCCTGTTCTTTCTTGGTTAGCTTCAGAATCTGGATTTATACTAAGCAAGAAAAATGTTACCTCTCATATTTTCTGATTGGACATTTATGATTTCTGTACTATTGTTACAGTTACTATTATAAAACAGTGCAGTTAAAGTATCTGCGGAGTCATAGTAACATCAGCAGACCTGAACATGCTCCTTGCAGCTAATTTTAGGCCATCCTTATCTTCATCTGAAGCATTTGACCATTAGATGATCAGATCACAAAGCAGAAGATTTTTTTTTACAGTGATGTTTGGTGATTTTAAAAATCAAAATAATGGTACGTTCTTATTAAAATCTTCCCCCCTAATTAGTTTCAGTTATCCTTTTGGATCCATTCATTGCATCATAGAGAAGGATTAAAATCACGTTCTGACCAGATTCAGAACTTATTAATCGGCTTCACAAACATTCATTGATTTATTCAATTGAACGTTTCACACTCTAGAATCAAGTCATTTTAATTATTTAGAGTTTATTTGATGCCACAGTACAGAATCCGGAACTTCAAATAGATTCTGCTCTTGGGTGGACTATTTGGATGGAAAGCTTTAGTGTTTAGCAACAAAAAATGTTAATCTAAATAAGTAATTTTTTCTTAAAATAAGTGCATTTTTTTCGTAACATAAGAAGTTAATTGAGAAACTTTGCCAATGGAACAAGACAATTTATAAATAAAATAAGAAAAAATAATTGCATTGTCTTATTTCAAGTGCATATTATTTAATTATCTTATTTTAAGAGTAAAAATGATAATTCCATTGGCAAATTATGTTATTTACCTACTCAAATTGAGGCTAAATACACCTAATTTAAGAAATTTTCACCTTTTTTCTAGATTGTTTTTTAAGTGTTCCTGAGGCTTTATCCTACAACTACTTTGAATTTTTTGAATAACAAAACCAGCCTCCCTGTCCCTAATAATCAGTAAAAATAGCTCTTTTTCCTGTTAGCTTATGAATCAGAGCCTTAACCAAACAGACACCAAGAAAAAAAAGCTGTTTCTTCATGATCTATTTGTAGAAAAGAAATATTTTCCAGATTAGTTTGGTTCATTTCTGCTCATAGAGAGGTTCTACCCATGTTATTAGGCTGACCTTTGTTTGAACCTTCTACAAGACTTGAAGTATTAAAAAAATAACTTGGACATGTTTAAAAAGAGGAAACCCATTTATCTTCTCCTTAGATCATGTGTTTTTGGGACGTTTAGCTGCAGTATTATTGAGTCTTTGTTTACTCATCTGTCTTCCTGCAGGAAAACATTGAACTCGCCTTAGAAGACACTGAACCCAGCACTTCCCTTTCAGTGGCGGTGATAGACCAAACCTCAAGCCATGCAATTGTAAGTAAAGAGACAGTTTTTTTTCCTTTGCACTGCACTTCCAGTTTCCATAGCACTTCTCTTTTTCTTGTTTTTTTTAAATGCATAATTCTGATAAAAGCCTAACAGCTTGGTTTTGAATCCTTTTGAAAACAGGTTTTTCTTATGATATTCACCAGATGCCCTTCTTAAATCAAAAGTAAATCTATGTTTAAAAAAAAATAATTTCTCAATTGTATACACTACCGGTTGGGAGAGGTTAGGGAAGAGGCAATAGGAGCGAGAAAAAGAAAGGTTAGAGAATTGACTTCAAGAAAGGAAAATCGATGTTTGGCCTCTGCAGCCTGTGATCTGCACCATGGAAACAGAAATGGCAGAGTTTAAAGAACCGTGGGTCAGGTTGCTATAACTCCAGCATGTTTTGTTGGAGTGCTTTGCTTTTTAAAATGGGTCCCTGCTCTGATTTAAGCATCATCAGAAGCTGTGAGCTACAGCACATCACACCAAAAGGAAAAAAAAAAAAAGGAAATGGTAACTTTAAAGACATTTTGAAAGTCTGATTTTTAAAACTCTGCTCTAAAGATCCGGTGCTTTGAATAAAAGAAATTTTGATCAAAGGTTTTTTTCCTCATCATAGCTGTATTTTATCCTGTCATAGCTCAAATGTCTGTTATCACTGCCTTAATGTTCAACTCATTGGCAGTTTCATGGCTTGTCATATGTCTCCCTCAAACTGACACACTGTCTGTGTATTTGCAAGCAGTATAGTGTGCCCAGATGATAACGCTGTATTTATTGTAGCCTCCTGACAGACACTAAAGCACTTTTTTGGTTCTGTTGGCTTACCTCTAGGTTTCTAGGGTGGCTACAGGAATTAACCACATCCACTATCCTAGATACCTGTTATGGATTGCTACTTTCTATTAAATTTCTTTTTTTTTTTTTTGGATTATCTTGCTCATTTATTTATGCTTCATTCTAGGGCTGAAACAATTCATCAGATTAGCCGTGATTAACCAATTATTGAAATAATCATCAACTAATTTAGTGATTGATTAATCGGTAACTGGAGACTCTGAAACATGACTTTAGCTGACAGAGTGACCCTATTAGTACAGTAATGATTCCAAAAGTGCAAAATAGAATATGTAAACTTTTTGCATTTAAGATGGAAAAACTTTTTCATCTGTCAATATGCTCTATCCAGAACTCCTCAAGTGGAAACGTTTTAGTTCCACCTGGTTTCATTTCGTAAAAAGATTCTTCTTTAAGGAACCTTTCGCCATCCGATTATTAATTGATTTATCTAAAAAATTATTGACAGATTAATCGATTTGCAAAATAATCGTTAGTTGCAGCCCTACTCCATTTGAGTTTTTTTTAGGCTTTAACAAAATCCACAGTCTAAAACTGATCTTTAATGACTCCAGGAAGGAGTTGTATAAAGAAAATGATGCATGAAAATGATCCTTCTCACCTCTTAAATATCCCTAAATAAACTCCAGGGTGTGAAACTACAAGTAAGTCCACCTGTGTGTAGGTTAAGCTTTTAATATCTACAGCTGTTGTTTGGAGGCCTAGGAGGGTTGGTAGAGAACATTAGTGAACAACTGACACCATGAAGACCATGAAATACAACAGAAAGCTCAGGTGTTCAGGAGTTTAATGCACAGTCAGGTTATGGATAACGAAATACAATAGCAGCATCAAAATCTGGGGAAGCTTAATCCAAGAGACAAATTAACTGATGAGATTATGTAGTAGAATAAAAGAGTCCAAATCAGGGTCTGGTGTGAGATTCATGTTCCTTTGAAATGCTTGCCCTGATGCTGCGAAGATAACAAAAGTTCTGTACTGAAATGTGTTTAGCTGATATAGAGAGACCACTCAAGATTTGCCAGTGCAGTGAAAGGTTATGCTATAAAATCGTAAATAAGTTGAGCTGAATACAAATGCATGTAATAAAAGATTATAGTATTGTGTCATTTTTCATTCCACTTCACAGTTAATTGCCTTCTACTCTGTGTGGCCTATGATATGAAGTCGCAGTAAAATACAATGAAGTTTAGTTTGTAACGCTACAGAGTTTCAAAGTTCAAGGGTTTGAAGCAACTTTGTAAGGCAGAGTGCATAAGGTAAAATATGCTAAATCTGCATGATCTTTCCTTGGATTACCCATAAAGAGAGCTTCCACATTCTGTTCAAAGCGCTGCCACTGCAGGTCTTTTCTCCCAACTCTCTGCTAGTGGTAAATATATTCCTAATTGTATTCATTTTAATCCTCGTTTACTCTGTTTTTATGAGATACATTTACATTTTTAATATAAAAAGCTGAATGGATGATGCTATTATTGCAGCTGCAGCTGAAGGACACGGACTGTGAATGGGTTTCAGAAATTTTAATTTTCACTGCTGATAATATTATCTGGTTTTTCACCACCAGCTCAGCCTGGGAAAAAAAATACTGCAAAGTACGTTTGCTTATGTTTAAGAACTTGACTGCAGAGGTCAGCAACCAGCTCTGAGAAAATCATATATATTTTCTTTTAGTTCCCATGAGGGAGATGAATGATAAAGGCTTAAAGAAATGCTTGATTCATCCATGCATTCCCATTAAACGGCTAAAAGAAGCTGGAACGTCCTTGTGGCAAGGTTGTCTTTACTCGTGTAATGAAAGAGTTTTTTTTTTATAGACGTACATTGTAGAAGTGAAGAAGGTCAAAGAAAAATAATGAAAATAAAGAAGTGAAGGGGAAATTGCATTATCCAACTACTGCAGGATGATTTTAAAGTGTATGTGTGAATACTTTGCCTTGTAATAGGTGCGTACAGTTCGAACAGACGAGGCACGGGGTCTTCTGTGGCTGATGGAGGAAGAGGCGCTGCAGCCAGGAGGATCACCTGAAACACTTTTAGGACGTCTCTTCAGCTACTATGGACCAGCTGAGGGAGAGAGTAAAGGTTGGGACAAAATACCAACAGCTTGCATACAATTTCCTGTTTTGGAGCCAATGATGCCAAAGAAAATTATGCAAATATTTACTTTTTAGCAAATATAGACACAATATAACCTTTTGTATGTAGGAAAGCTGGCTGTGGAAAGTATCTTATCCTGTTTTATAAAACAAAAAAAAAATAGATTAAGCCTATTAAGGAAAAGAAGGAAAATAATTTAAAACATAGTTTAATTGATGTTCTTTTAGAACAATATTTGAAGGCCTGTGGAGTTACCAGAGGTTATCCTGTTCTCCCCAAATCAGAAGAGCATTAACCATAACTAACATGAGATTTGAAAGGACACTCATTTACTTTTTTGTATAGATTATAGATGGAACAAAATTTGATCAGCAAGAAAAAAAAAAGAAGAGAAATCTTGTTGGTAAATGTATTTCTCTGTAACTCTACTTGAGATAAAGGGTTTAGAGTGTCATGCCAAATGTAATGCCAAATTGTTGTTTAGTTACTCTAAACAACAATTTACAACACTCACAAAGGGAACATTTGTTTATTTTTAAATACATTTTTCAAAGCATTTTAAAAAGAGGTACAAGTTGTAGGGGAAGTGACACATTTACAGAATATTTTTTTTTATTTAATGCTGAAAATTACAGTAGTAGGTGAAATAGCCAAAGGAATGTTCTTAGCTTATGAAAACCAAACTTCAAATAAAAAAAAAATCAATCCAAAAAGATATTCAAGAGTAAAAAAGTATGATTGGAATGATTGCTCAAATACTGATTAATCCCTAAACATATTATCTAGCTTATTTTTTTCAAGAAAAGATTTTATCGTACAAAAAATAAGCAAAATTCGCAAAATAAAAAAAAAAATCTAAATAATGCAACATGACTAACCTAGTTACAAATTAAATACATTTAAAATATTTGTTTTATTTTTATATTTAGCTTTTAAACTTAATACGTACATTCTGTTAAATTTTTTTCTGCATAGAGTAGCCAAAAATTAACTAATCTTACTTGGTTAGAAGTTACCAGCTCTGCTCACAGAGCATAGAAACGCAGCAAATCTAAACATTATCTCTAGATTCCAGTTTTAACTTCAGAAATAAACGGATGACCAACAACCGTTATATTTTAAAATTGTTTTCATAAATATTTTCTCCTCTTTAGTAGTTTCCTGTGTAAAACAACCATCACTGTGCTTGAATATATTTTTTAGCTTTTTGTGGCCAATATGTCTCTGTAAAGCATGATTTGGTCATATTTAACTTTAACATGTTACCTAAGTTCATAGAAACAATATCAAGCATTTTGTATTATCTCATTAAGTTTAAAAATAAACCCCTTGAGGGTCCTTGTTATAAGAAAGTTAAACTTGTTAACTGTGATAAATGCATGTTTCTCAGTTATTCTGAGTTGGTTATAGATCTCAGTACTAATTATACTTTAAAACAGTAATTAATATATTTACCCATGTTATAAAAATGTATTCACAATGAAAATATTTTTAGATAATGATGATTAATGACTACCAGTCTTTGCAGATCATAATGAACATTCTGAATGAGCAATAAATAATAATTATTTTAATGAACCAGTAAATGTGGATATTTAAATCAGGTATGGAAGTTTGAATTAACCACTGTAAATATCAACAACTTCAATTTATACTTTGAAGTGGTCGCCATTAATCATTAACAAAACCCCTAGAAATTTCTTTGTATAGTTTTAGCTAAAAAAAAAAAAAAAAAAAGTTCACTTTTTAAGAGAAAAGATGGCTAATAAAAATTAACCACAGAAAACAACCCTTTATACAGCTAAAAATTATGAAACAATTTATTTCTAGTTTAAAACATTTATTCAGTTTAATAATACTACTACTGCACAAGGGGAGGGAGGAAAGGGGTACCCAGCTAACAGGATGGTACAGGAGCTAACAGGAAATAGGACAGCCATGTTTAACCAACCCGCATGAAGCTTCAAAGAGGACGAGAAAGATGTCCCAGCTCAGACAAAAGGCTAACAAAGCTAACAGGAAGCCTATTTTAATCAGCTGATGGGCAAAAGAAAAGAAAGAGAGAAGGAAAAAAGGGGGGAGAAGGATTAAAAAAAAGAACAGGAAATGGTTCAAATTGTCTGGCTTTCGGCTCAGTCGCTCACAGAACCAAACAACAGCAGATTGTCATCACACTAAAATCACACAGTGAAACATCCAAGAGAAGTTGCTCCTGGAAATGTGGCTGGGAAAACTCAAGGAAAATCTTTGGTTGCACTTTAGAGGAAGGTTGCACACTTTGTACAGGAGATGAAGGGAGCAGGTCGACTGCTACCATTATGCCATCTGTGGCTTTTATGGTGGTGAGATGGTATTGCTTTTTGCCTGCTCAGTCTACGGCAGAGGATAGAGCTTCTTGGTCCGGTCGTTTTAAGTGGCCATATCAGATACATCACTATTAATATATCACCAGATTCTGCTGTTGATTCATGCATGCTGATATAGGAATGTATCTTTAAGTTGCAGGTCAGTGGCTCTTGAAGCTACTGGTAAAGTTGGACTGAAGAGTTCACTCTAATATATGATAAATGGGTTACAATGATTTGTTGGCAACGTACAACAGTTTGGTGCCAGAGAATGCATAATTTCCCTTAGTCATTAGTTTCTAGTCCAAGTGGTCCAGATCAGGGACATTTATTGCTTCCACATTAAAGGCAACATGGGGAGGTGAGGATATGAAATTCACAGCACAAACTAAAATCCTGATACCATCAGCTATTCCCTGATTTATTAGTTTCTAAAATGATTTCTGTATTTACACAATGAGAATTTCATGGAACAGTATGTTCTGTTATCGGCTGCTGTCCAGCACTGAGCTGGCTCCAGAGCAAGCCTTGTAAAATTGCCCCCTTGAATCACATAAAATGGGACCAGACTGTCTGTGATTATGCATGTATTAGTAATTTCTGTGTAGGTTGGCAACAGATGGCACATAGCAGAGTAATCAAGAAGTGATGAATCTGGCTGTTATAATAAACTCATCATGCAGACGCTGAAAGTATTGCTGTGGAGTCCTTAAACATTAAGCCCCCCCCCCGTTACCTTTTCTTGTGTGTCTTGGGCTAACACTTGCTTTTACACTGTCATCAGGTCACACATTTCTTCTGAGGAGTGAGAAGGAGAATCACTTCCTGCTGGGTCACAGTCATGGAACTGACTGGGTGGAGTATGATGCCCGTGAATGGTTGAACTATGCCAAGCAGAACCCTGCCTCTACCAATGCAATAAGCCTTCTGCAGGAATCCCAAAAGTAAGCGTTACTCCATCAGGCAGACACTATTGGTAATTAATGTAAATGTTAATGCAATATTATTTCTGTGGATGATTTAAAAAAAAAAATGTCCCTCCCACAGGAAGATAATCAGCTCCTTGTTCACGAGCCGGGCAGGTGGTGCTGTGGTGCTGTCCGGGTCTGTTGCCGGTCTTGAGGGCGTTTCCAACATGTCTCTACGCAGGGCATCCAGCATGAGGAAGACTTTCAGTACAGGAGTTGCTGCAATAAAGAAGAAGTCCTTGTGTATCCAAATAAAGCTCCAAGTGGTGAGAGAACCAATAATCCACTCAGAAATGTTTTTCTCCAGTACTAACTCTCTTTTAACGCCAAGCCAGTGGGCTTAAGGTGTATAAAGGGATGAAATACTCCACATTTGTAACCTTGTTTAGGATTTATTTTGGAATCTAGTTTGGGCCTTAGAGCGTTTGTAAATAGCAAAATGCAGTTTAAAAGAAAAGTGTTGAGATGAAGGCCAGGAGTTGAGCTGCAGCTAGAGAAAATTATATATTGGCTGTTTTTATAGACTTGGGCTCTACAGCTGCTTTAACATCCAACCCCTCAAGCCAGAGGACTTAATCTCTATTAGATCTATATTTTTAGACAATGTACTACAGAGAAATGTATGTTTAGAAGCATGCATAGGGTCTACATGAACACATCTGTAATCAGTTGAAGGTTTTAGGTGTTGGATGTTGAATTGAATGGTTATTTTAGTTTAAATTAATTCAGTTTATGTTTAAGGTGGTTCAGTTCAGTTCAGTTTTTACAACAATGTTGAAATAACATGTTTATGGTTCTGTTCCTTTTTTCATAAGATTTTGTACCTATACAATATTTGTCCCACTTTAACCAAGAACTTGCAAGTCAAGTTTTCTTTTAGTAATGAGACAGCAGATCAATCTGAACGCATAACTCCTAAGGTAAAATATGGGGGTGGAAGCGTGTGCAGTGGAGATGCTTTCAATTAAACAAGGACAAAGACAGCTGTCAGAGTTGATGGGAAGCAAAGAGCATCTAAATACGGAGCTGTTACCCGAGTCTGAGGCAGAACTTCACCTTCCAGCAGTGCATAGACTATAAACTAGCTCTAGGCAAATAATTGCATTTGCAATATAACCGTGATTTAACAAAGTGCAATTTCGAATCACAGACACACTTAATTTTGGTAACATCACATTAAAGAAACCTACTTTTTCACCCCAGCTCTTAAGGTGAGAGTAAAACACTTAAAGTGGGCATGCTGACAAATAGAGGGGAAAATAGAGTTGCAGGTAGCATGCAAATGCATGCATGCGAGTAGAAGTAAGCACTTCAATACAACCGCAACAGAAAAGAACCAGACTCTGGACAAGCAAACTTTCAAGGTGATTTATCTACATTTTTGTAGTTGGTTCAATATCGAAAATATTGAAATTTAGATTTTTGGTGAAATTAGGCAGCCCTCCTATAAACAGACATCTCTAATATTTGTTTTGGTCAATGATTATGTTTAAAAGGCCTAGTCAAAGGCCTGGCCTAAAGCCAATTGAGAATCAGTGGCTAGACTTTAACATTTCACGCCATGAATGCTCTTTATCCAATCTAAGCTTGAGCTAATTTGCATAAGCAAAAATGCTGGAAATACCAAATCTTGTCAAGTGTTAGAAACATAGTCCAAACTTTATTGTTTGCAAAGTATTAGGCTTCAGAAATGTTTTTTTTTTTTTTTTTTTAACAAAAACTTGGGAATTTTGTGGTCGTAATATGATAAAATACAAAAACAATAACAACCATGTGCTATGTATGCTATTTCACTGCATATTAAATTAATGTATGTTAGTGTATTAGTTGTTGAATGTTATCAATAGGAGTTCCTCTTCCTGCCCTGTCTTCTACAGGATGCCCTTCTTGACATATTGCGGAGGTCCAGGATTCACTTTGTTCACTGCATAATGCCCAAAGCAGATGCTCTAAGGGCTCTTAGTGGATCTCTGTTCAAAGGAGGGGACTCTGAGGCTCAAGGGGAGACCGGAGATCCTGGCTTAATGCAGCTAGATGTGGCCCTGCTTCGTGCTCAGATACGTGGATCCAAGCTGCTTGATGCCCTACGGATCTACAGGCAAGGTGAAGAAGCTGCTTAAATCCTATCCACTGTGAGAGGCAGTGGAATCTAGGCCTCCTTACCCTTCTGCATTGATGAGGGAAAAAAAGGAACTGAGTTTTTTTTTCTTCCTGTCAGAAGGTCATCTCTGAATGATCACAGTACTCAACAAATATTTGCAGTGCATAATGTTATCCAACACTGACTTCTTACAGGTTACCCTGATCACCTGGTATTTTCTGAGTTCCGACGGCGCTTTGATGTGCTGGCCCCACACCTCACCAAGAAGCACGGCAGGAATTACATCGTAAAGGATGAGAAACGAGTAAGTCGCAGCAAAAGAAGGGCAGTGGGTGGGTGTCTGAAATGTGCAGCTCTGCTGGTGGCCAAGCCTGCTGAAGATTGATGTTGTGTAGAGACGATTTCATTACTTCTACCCCCTGATTTGTCAGCATCCAGTAGTCACAGAAATGGGCGTTCATCAGAGCCGTAGCAAGAACCCAATCAACTTAACCTCATCGGCATCTCGCTGGTGAAAGAGGGGAGATTAAAATTGTTGCTTGGAGAGTGTTTTATTGCAGTCAACGCTAGAAAAATTCTGCAAGATGCGACTGTAATACTAAGGGTTTCCCGAGAGGCCTTTTTTTTCTGTATATTTACCCTGTAACAGTTTTCTTCTGCTTATGCTCCTCACATAAATATTTCAGCTCATTGGACTAATTCTGATTCCAGACAAACATAACCAGAGTACATCCAAAATGCACATTTTAAGTGATTGAATTTACCATTGGAAGAAAGGTTCTTCAATCAATGTAGCCATGTGTGAAAAAATCCAAGCCCCATCGCTCATATAACTGCTGTTGTCGAACTTAACAGCAGCAACTGCCGTAAGGTGTTTGCAACAACTCTCAATGAGCCTTTCATATTTATTTTAAAGGATTTTGGTCCATTCTTTGCACTATGGATTTAATTCAAAAACATTTGAAAGTTCTAAGCATCAAATGCATGTTTTGTATCACACCTCAGCATCTCCATTGATTTAGGGTCTAGATTTTATTTTGCTGCTTTAACCTATTCAGAGGAGGGCTTGCTAATTTGCTTTTTCTTTTTTGCTCAATCACCTAAATATGGTTTAGGGTAAGGTCTAGGGCTGAAACAATTAATTGGAATAATTGAATTTAAATAATCCTCAACTAATTTCGTAATCGATTAATAACTGGATTATAACTGGATTATCTCCATCATGCCTTTAGTTTACAAAGGAACCCACGCAGAGCAGTAATTACCCCAAAATTGTAAAAAAATATAAACATTTTTTAATTTAAGATAAAAAAATAAACAAAGATCCAGAACTCCAGAAGTGAAAAAGTTTTAGTTTCACTTGGTTGAATTTAGTAAAAAGTCGTCTTAAAGGAACCTTTGGCTATGTGATTATTAATCAATTGATCGTAAAAATAATCCACAGATTACTCGATTAGCAGCCCTAGTAAGGTCATGACCTGATGGTCTAGGCTTTTATGATCGGGTAAAATCTAAGGTTCCATTAATTACAGCATTTCTTATAGAGGTCCTAAATTGTAGGTAACCCCAAGAATTAATGATACCACAACCATGTTAGACTTTTATGTCCTGAAATGTTGTTTTAGCAGTGTTGATCAACACCTTCCACAGACATCCATTTTCTCTCATCATTTTATTGTGTTTTTGCAAAATTATCATAACGATAATGGTAAATCTTAATGACCTATTTGGTCTTTTAACAGCTGGGGTTTTGTTCTTCTCACTCATGGAAAGGTTTACAGCTGTCTCTGCCTACTTTATTTGGTTCAATGTGTCTAACCATGTGAGCCCTTTCTCTGATAGATATCAATGGCTTCCTTTCTCATCTATTCTTTATTTTCCTTAGCTTGAGGGTTGACGTGTTTAGATCTTTTTTTCCAACTTCTTGTTGCCAAACAAGTTATGTTAAACTAATTTCCTGATTCTATAGGTCATAATAATCACCGTTGTTGTGGCTAATGGAACTAGAACATGTGGTTAATCCCAGGTATTGCATGTTTTAAAGGCGGCGGGGTGGGGATGTGTGGGGGGTGGCGGGGGTGCAGGTGGGGGGCTTGTTGAATGGGGGGATAGACTAAATAAAGTTTGTTTAGAAAGCTACTTATTTTCTTTAGGAGATAAAAATAATTGTTTGGAAAATAATGTCTTTAAAGCTATTTTTGTCTAATTTTTTTTGACAATCTTAAACATTTGTCACAAAGATGAACAAAAGTAAAAAATAAAAGTAAAAGTGAATCTAGCTTTTCAAATAAATTAGGTTGTTTTACAGACGGAATAATGAAAGAAAGCTCCAACAACAAGAGTTGGGGTAGAAGGCTTCTGTTTTTCTCTGTGTTTTTGAGCGAGGGGCGAGTTTCTGTGGAAACACTGGTGAACAAAGGCCCCTTAGTACTCACAGCAAACCTCTCCTGGTGTAATCTAGATGTAGTCTTTCAGGCAGCAGGCTGAAGCACAGAGTGAAAAAGCAACAATACAACTTCAGTACACATGAGAAAGTAGACTGACAGGGCCTAGAGAGACTCTGAGACTGGGTTCATGGTGTGCTTGTGTGTCGGAGCTCTGTGCTCAAAGTCGCAGTGGGGCTAAGAATTACAGGGGGGGTCATGGTGAGTAAGCCAGGAGCAGGTGGACTCAGAGGGATGGGTTGTAATTGGTTTCTGAAGGTTCTAAGAAGCCAAACTTTTTCCCATGCTCGCTGACTTTATTTTTTGAGCTGAGAAAGCGGACTTTAACTACTCATTTATAAGGTTAGGCCTTCTGTCGATCCCTGAAATGTAGCAGTATCTGTGATTAGACCTGCTGCATCCGAACATGGAGACATTGATGTTTCTGTTCATGTATGTCTTTACCTAGGCTGTGGAGGAGCTGTTGGAGTCCCTGGATCTGGAGAAGAGCAGCTACCACATGGGTCTGAGTAGGGTGAGTAAGGAAACGAACCGCTTTAATGTTACCAAGCAAACCTTTGCTTTGAATCACTGCCAGTTTCTTTCCTCTTTAAACCCTAACAACAAAGCTGCAGCACAGATTTTTTTTTGTGTGTGTGTGAATGACACTTGCTTTCTTGGGAAATGTGTCTTTCATTACACCTGTCCCTCTTTGAGGTTTGTTTGCCGTTCTTTTTATGGAGTGCTGCCAAGCCCTGTCCCTTCATCTCACCTTTTCTGTCAGTAGCTACCCAAGAGACTCTTCTTCACTCGCTGGTGGCAGGAAACTAATTCTCCCCTTTGTTTCTGGACATTAGCGCAAATGCTTCGTACTGTTTTTGCACCATGACCCTAGTACAGGAACTCCCAGTACATTGCTTAGAAACTGACGTCTAATCCTATCAGCTGAAAAACAGCAATCGGCTAAGACTGAAATCAAAAGGAACAATGACATAAAAATAAATGGACCCTTCTTTTAAAGCACATAAGAGGGGTAGGGTTTGGAGGCAGTCTTGCATTGGGCACAACAGTGTGGAAAAAAAAAAGCTCAGTTGGCCATTCACAAAGCATTTCATTGGCGTCATAGCAACCCGTCTCACATGCATGCCAATTATGGCAGCCCCTAACAACCTTCCAGCAGTGGATTCAAAGCTCTGCTCAGGATAAAATCTGCCATCAGAGATAGCCATGTGTAGACGAACAGCTTAACCACCCGCATTTCACAAACTCCTGCATGCATCTAATGATGAATGGTAAATCTCTGCTCAAACCCTTGAAGCAAATTGAGACGTAACGTCCTTTGATGTACTCAAAAACCTCACTCCTCCATAAATATTTTCAGTTTTCTATTAAAACCGCTCAGTTGTTGCATTTAACAGACCACACACTGATTTGATCTGTAAAGCAATTGGACATATGTAGAGTGCTTAAAGATAATAAGTTGGCTGCTTTTTAGCCATAATATCTTTAATGCATTTGCAATATTTCATCCTTCAAAGTGTAGAGGAGCTTAGGATGCAGCCTGTCTGTTTACCTGCATTTTACCTTTGGCCTAGATTAGAAACAGGCTGGGCTGATTATCGAAGATAATAACTTAATCTCAGATTCATTACTTGGAGGAGGATTTATCACTTGGAAGTCTGTGGATTACACCTCTTTTTATTGATTCTTTAACTTGAGTGTGTATTTTTTTTTTTTTTCAACTTAAATTTGTTTTAACTTCGCTGCTGTGCTTCCTTCCTAATTTGTCTTGGTTAAACTTAGTCAGCATTAAGTTACTTCTCCATAATGGTTTCTCTGTGCTAATATGTCTGTTTTATTTATTTTTTGTCTTGCTCCAGCTGTTTTTTAGAGCTGGGATTTTGGCTAAGCTGGAGGAACAGCGGGATGAGCACACCAAGCGTAATCTCACCCTGTTCCAAGCTGCTTGTAGAGGTTACCTTGCACGGCAGGCTTTCAAGAAGAGAAAGGTAAGAATGGAATACCTTCTGATAGTTTGTTTATATACAAGAGGTTTGCAAGGCACCCTTGAAGAGAACTCATATTTATATACACATGTACAGAATTTATTTAGGTCCAAATTTATTTGTCAGCAGTACAATTCAAATGCAGACCTGACACCTGTGGAAATGTACGACTATCTACAATTTAAAACGGGAAGAACCGTGAGCAAAACAAAAGGCATGAGTGACCATCTGCTCTGAGTGGCTAGACACTGAGAAAACAGATGGTAGATCTGTAAAGGAGCATAGTGATCTGAAAATAATTCTAAGAGACAGAAAAGAGACACAGTTAAACACAAACATCCAGCTAGGATTATTTATATATATAAAAAAAACAACAAAAAAACAAACAAACAAGGGAAACAATAACCTTTTTAGCAATAGTTTTGCCATCGAAGGCAATACAGCTTAAATTGAACGTTTTGGTCCCAGTGGTACCTTTTATAATGGAGGGCTATGCAGCTTAAATTGAACGTTTTGGTCCTAGTGGTACCTTCTACAATGGAAAACTATAGCACAGCTTAAACTGAACGTTTTGGTACAGTGGTACCCTCTATAATGGAGGGCTATACAGCTTAAATTGAATGTTTTGGTCCCAGCGGTACCTTCTATAATGGAAAACTATAGTACAGCTTCAACTGAGGGTTTTGGTAGAGTGGTATCTTCTATAATGGACGGCTATATAGCCTAAATTGAATGTTTTGGTCCCAGCGGTACCTTCTATAATGGAAAACTATAGTACAGCTTCAACTGAGGGTTTTGGTAGAGTGGTATCTTCTATAATGGAGGGCTATATAGCCTAAATTGAACATTTTGATCCCAGGGGTACCTTCTATAATGGAAAACTATACAGCTTAAACCAAACCTTTTGGTCCCAGTGGTACCTTTTATAATAGAAAACTATACAGCTTAAGCTGAATGTTTTGGTCCTAGTGATACTTTCTATGAAGGAAAGCTATACAGCTTAAGCTGAACCTTTTGGTCCCAGTGGTACCTTTTTATAATAGAAAACTATACAGCTTAAGCTGAATGTTTTCTGTCCAGTGTTGGGCACGTTACTTTGAAAAAGTAATTAGTTATAGTTACTAGTTACTTCTCCCAAAAAGTAACTGAGTTACTGAGTTACTCCACAATAAAAGTAACTAGTTACTAGTAAAAGTAACTAGTGCGTTACTTTTGCGTTTCTCGCCCCGTAACCCTCACCACCCAGCCCCCACCTTCTCGCTGTGTGTTTCAAAAGCCAGCTGTGAGGAGATGCAGGGGAAACCGTATGTGATGGGGAAACGCAGCTCGACGTAACACCGGTATTTCCATGTGGAAAACGCTGTTTTGCTGCTGGAGTCATCCTCACTCTCCATCTCTCTGTGTGTGCTGTACGTTAACACCCGCCAGCGGAAACACCCACCTACCCAACTGACAGACGGAATCTCACTATACATCAGCCAATCTCATCCTCCCCTCTCTCATGACAAGGCGCGCACGAGTCCTATCATGAAAAAAGGTTTATTGTGCAACCTGAGTAACGCGCAGTAACGGGGTGTCGGCAATGGTAACTGCGTTATACCGTAAAAATTCAAAAAATATCCACTGGACTTGGTTTTCAAGATTTGAAGACGTTTCGCCACCTCTCCAGGAAGCTTTCTCAATTCAAATGTCTGGATCCGCAGTGAGTTTGAGTCTTATATAGACAACGCCTTGTATCGCTTGGAAACATGCAATGGTAACCGATGAATGGGTCGTTAGTTCCATCGTTAGCCTGTAATATCTGAACCTGTCTACGATTCTAGGGGTCGGTCGTTAAAGGGGGGATTGCCATTAAGGGGGGGGATTGTCTCCTGTAATACCTGAAACCTGTCTATGATTGTTAAGGGTTGGTCGTTAAGGAGGTATTGTTCACCGGCTGGGGCGGGTAGGTCCCTCGTTCCTCTGTGATGGGGTGGGGGGTTTGGTGATATCTGGAAGGGATCATGTCTATGATTGAATTGTATGTTTTTGGAAGCTGGAATCTGAGTCCACCACCTCTGTTTAAAGTTGGTTTTTCTCTCTTAACATAGATGGCTTCCTTCACGCCCCTCTCAAACCATGACTATGACCTGGATGACTGAGAACCTTCATCAGCTAACTGCGTTATAGTTACAGTCAAAGTAATTAGTTAGATTACTCGTTACTAAAACAAGGTAACGGCGTTAGTAACGCTGTTACTTTCAACGCCATTAGTCCCATCACTGTTTCTGTACCAGTGGTACCTTCTATAACGGAAAGCTATACAGCTTAAACTGAACCTTTTGCTCCCAGTGGTACCTTTTATAATAGAAAACTATACAGCTTAAGCTGAATGTTTTGGTCCCAGTGGTACCTTCTATAACGGAAAGCTATACAGCTTAAACTGAATCTTTTGGTTCCAGTGATACCTTCTGTAATGGAAAATTATACAGCTTAAACTGAATGTTTTGGTCCCAGTGGTACCTTCTATAATGGAAATAAAAGATAATTTAAGTCAATAAGATCAAATTTTAGGGTTAGTAGTAGTTTATACCATATACACTATATTGCCAAAAGTATTTGCTCACCTGCCTTGACTCACATATGAGCTTAAGTGACATCCCGTTCCTAATCCATAGGGTTCAATATGACGTCGGTCCACCCTTTGCAGCTAGAACAGCTTCAACTCTTCTGGGAAGGCTGTCCACAAGGTTTAGGAGTGTGTTTATGGGAATTTTTGACCATTCTTCCAGAAGCGCATTTGTGAGGTCGCACACTGATGTTGGACGAGAAGGCCTGGCTCTCAGTCTCCGCTCTAATTCATCCCAAAGGTGTTCTATCGGGTTGAGGTCAGGACTCTGTGCAGGCCAGTCAAGTTCATCCACACCAGACTCTGTCATCCATGTCTTTATGGACCTTGCTTTGTGCACTGGTGCACAGTCATGTTGGAAGAGGAAGGGGCCAGCTCCAAACTGTTCCCACAAAGTTGGGAGCATGGAATTGTCCAAAATGTCTTGGTATGCTGAAGCATTCAGAGTTCCTTTCACTGGAACTAAGGGGCCAAGCCCAGCTCCTGAAAAACAACCCCACACCATAATCCCCCCTCCACCAAACTTTACACTTGGCACAATGCAGTCAGACAAGTACCGTTCTCCTGGCAACCGCCAAACCCAGACCCGTCCATCAGATTGCCAGATGGAGAAGCGCGATTCGTCACTCCAGAGAAGGCGTCTCCACTGCTCTAGAGTCCAGTGGCGGCGTGCTTTACACCACCGCATCCGACGCTTTGCATTGCACTTGGTGATGTATGGCTTGGATGCAGCTGCTCGACCATGGAAACCCATTCCATGAAGCTCTCTGCGCACTGTTCTTGAGCTAAACTGAAGGCCACATGAAGTTTGGAGGTCTGTAGTGATTGACTCTGCAGAAAGTTGGCGACCTCTTCGCACTATGCGCGTCAGCATCCGCTGACCCCGCTCCGTCAGTTTACGTGGCCTACCACTTCGTGGCTGAGTTGCTGTCGTTCCCAAACACTTCCATTTTCTTATAATACAGCTGACAGTTGACTGTGGAATATTTAGGAGCGAGGAAATTTCACGACTGGATTTGTTGCACAGGTGGCATCCTATCACAGTTCCACGCTGGAATTCACTGAGCTCCTGAGAGCGACCCATTCTTTCACAAATGTTTGTAAAAACAGTCTGCATGCCTAGGTGCTTGAATTTATACACCTGTGGCCATGGAAGTGATTGGAACACCTGATTCCAATAATTTGGATGGGTGAGCAAATACTTTTGGCAATATAGTGTACCTGCTAATGGTTGAGTGCAGCTAGAAAGAACAGAAGCCTGGCATCAAGGAGCACTTTCTCTGGTAAATGCAATAAGCATTTCAGTTTCAAGAAATGTTTTAAATTTGTTATCAAAATCAAATGCATTGAAATTTTATTTCAGTAAATACAAATATCAAATTTATTTCTTGTTTTCAGTGAGATAAACATGAACTGGTTTACTTTTAAGCCAATCAAAAAAAATTTGCTGTGTAGAAAAGTGAATACATTAACATGGAGATTTTGTTGCACAGGCAAAATGTTTGATGAAGATGAAGAATGGTCTAGGGGGCTATTTTAAGGACCTGTTTGGTCTGGGTTTTATGGTAGATCCTACAGCTTATCTTCAAATATTCAGCTAATTATAAATAAGCGCTCTAAATCTTTTGCTCATAGCCTCAGCCTCTTTGTGATCCATCCAATCATCTTTCACAAGGAAGAGCCTTGGCCATTTTTATTGCATGCCCCCAAGAATGCACCCTTATCAGGCATGCTGCTGACTCACATAGCCTTCTGCTCCACCCCACTTCCATTTCTCGGTTGGCATGTGCGGCTCCATCTCTCTGGACCTAATGCATGTCCTCTTGTGATATATGGTGCCCCGCACTTCTCCATCTCTGTGATTAGTATTTAAGTGAAAGTGCTGCTTCAGCCTGCTTGCGATGAACCAGCAGAAACAGAATCAATGCTGCTGCCCTCCATCAACGATGACAATCTGCCAGCGAGTAAATAGCTTGTTTCACTTGTATGTGGTTCTAGTAAGACTATTAAACGGCCACATTTACAATAAGAAATAATCAGTGTTTTATGAACATCACTGAGCCTTTTTCTCTTGGTACTTCTTTTCACCTAAAACTGGAAATAAATCAGTGTAGTTAATCACAGATTATTACTTGGTTTACAGCAGAGTCTAGTGTGTCACATTCTAAACATATACAGCAGGGAAAGCCATCAAAATTGCCAGGCTACAGGGTAATTACAGAATCCATTAGCAAGAACCCAAATTTTCTCTTCTCCCCTTGATGCCCTCTGTCTCCTGCTAATGTATCTGTAATAGAAAGATTAGAATTTTTTTTTTATCTTGGGTGTATTGATCTAAAAAAATCAATTTATCTTGGCAAGTTAACGTGTTATATGCAGCCATGGTAGTGATGACATCTTCAGAGTATTCTGTCAATCTAGAGGCATGGTTATTTTTATGAAGAGTGTTCATTTTGCTGCAAAATTGAACATGTTTCTTAAACAGGAAAGATCTGTGCTTCCCTTGAAAAAAGAAAATGGAGTGACAGGCATCCGTATACTACACCCCCACTTGAGATTTTTAATTTAACTCTTATCGAACCTTCAGTATTTCCATTAAACAAATGAAAAATGAAAAATACGGCATGCAGTGGAGCTTATTGAAGTAAAAAAACAACAACAAGAAAAAGATCGTTCAGAAGTTTTCTACTTGCAGATTAGAAATATGGTTCTCAAACTTTTTAAAAGTGTAACAACTTATATATTCTTAGATATTCTGTTGTGGCAGTACATTAAGCTTTGG